AGGACCGCTTCTGGTCCCGTGGGTGCCACGGCCAGCTTTGTCTGAGCCCACTGGGTAGATGCTGGGAGCTCAGCACCGAAATTCCCAGCGGAGCCTTTGTGCTCCGAGCATGCTCCCTGGCCTGCACCGCATCGGCATGAGCCTGCAGCGATCATCTTCCCAACAGACCGTGTCCCCCACTGCGTTCATCTTCCCAACACAGCATGACCCCGCTGCGTTCATCTTCCCAACACAGTGTGTCCTCGCTGCGTTCCTCTTCCCAACAGACCATGTCCCCTCTGCCTTCATCTTCCCAACACAGTGTGTCCTGGCAGAAGGTCATGGCAAGCAGGCTGAGCAGGCCTTCTCCTGCACCAGGCTCCATCCAGGGCCTGCCAGGGTGCGGAGGACGTTTGGTCATCTTCGTGCTCTCGATTTTTCTCCAGCTAGTAAGGAGGAGGATTAGAGGGAGGTGGGAGCCGACTGGTTTGGACACGTGCCAGCAAGAAGAGGGGAGCAGGGAAGAGGAGAGCAAGGCAGAGCAAAAGGATAAGGCGTCAGTGGAGGAAACAGTGTATTGAATTAATTAGCGGTCATATCGAGGGGGAAAGATGGCATCTGGCCGTGTAGTAGAGGATCCTTACGCGAGGGAACTGGGTGGGCTTGTCGCTGCAATTTTAGGGCACTGGTGATAGAGCGCTGGAGGGTGGGTACTCTTCTGCATGGGGGAAAGAGGAGGGGAGCGTGCTCTACACCTGCGTTTGGGTGGAAGGGAGATAATAATATGGGAATAACTTTAAAACCTCTTTTGAAAATTCCTCAAATTTTCCAGCATCACAAAGAGCTGCTTAAATCCTTTTCAGAAACCCAGTAGTTGTATTTCAAATTGTCACCATAATACTCGCTTGATTGTGGAAACTTGAAAAGATACATTAAGTCCCCTTCTGCTGTCTGCCTACTGCTTTGGGCCAAGCTACAGGACAGATGATAGCGCAGAAAAACTTAACTGTTTCAAAAATAAACCTTGAATTCATCAGTATTGTATCTCTTTTTATGTCCATTAGCCCTAACTGAACAGGTTAACGTAGTGACTGTTGTCTGGTAGACATCTAACTGCTCTGCCAGAATTTTATGATGTTTTGGGTCTAGACCATACATCACTGATGGCTTTACAGGGGAGGGGGTTTTGTAACCTTTTACATAAAGTTGTCCACACATGCGCAGTGCAAGGCCAAGGTGTGTCACTGCATCTGATTTTGATGACTATGGGTTACAATTCTGAAAGTGAGTCCTAATTTTTACAAGATTTTTTATAATTTTACAATTACTAATTTTCACAAATATTTACTGGAGTATATTTTCTTTTAACATCAACAGCTACATTGCAGGCAACAGCAATACCGACTTTTTCATATACTGGCTGATGGAGTACATTGCACTTGTGTTTTCCTGGCCACCTTCAGTTCTTGAGGCCCTCATGCTGATGTCCTGTTCACTGCTCCCTTCGAAACTGGCAGCAAGACTTCCTCTCCTGTCCAGAAACTCTGTTTCATGAGTCACCTGAAGAGTCAAAGCAAGATACGTATTGGAAGTTGTTATTTCAGAGTTAGAAGAGAGCTTGTGATCAGGTAGAGTCTGCATGTTGCTGGTAGCTTCCAAGAAGCACTTGGACCCGGGATTCTGGACCTAGGACAGTGTTGTACCAAAGTATCCAATGTCAGAGTTCATACTGGAAAATCCTAAAAATAAAAACATGCTAAAAAATCTCCACTGCTTTGTCCCCACAGTTACCCATGTTTCAGGCAGGAATAGAGTAGAGTAGAATAAGAATAGAACAGAACAGAACAGAACAGAATAGAATAGAATAGAATAGAATAGAATACTTCCAGTTGGAAGGGACCTACAACGAGCCTCTCTAGTCCAAGTGCCAGACCAATGAGGCTACTTAGTTTCTAAAACACCCCCTTCCTCCTATCCGATACACATGCGGAGTAGCGAGGGTATCAGGATGGATTCTCTTTGCAAAACTGCTTTTCATTTCATCACAAGATGATCCATGAACAAAGTAAGGTGATCCCCTTTTGCCCCTTTCTTTCACAATGACTAAGACCAGAGAGGCCTATGTGGTAGACTTCCATTACTGCCTCTGTCTCGCCTTCTCTCAGGGGGTTCATGACTAGGATCATGCAAAGTAATAATGGATTTAGACCTGGGATAAAAGCAAACAACTGCTTGACAACCAGTAGTAATGGTGGTAGTTTCAAAATTATTTGTTGGTTTGTTTGTTTTGGTTTTTTTTTAAGAAAAATGCAATGAGAAGTTCTCGGGAGTTGGTTTCTCCCTCAGACACATTACTCTTTCTGTATTTTAATGTGTATCTTTTAAAATATCTGTATTCATGTTTGTGTCTATTAAATTTGCCTGTATTAAAGATCTGTGCATGATGAAAGAAAATTCTATTCAAGACACAGAATGAAAATAATGCTTTAAAGTTCTGCTGGGGCTTCTGGGCAAAGGTCTTACACGTGTAGCTTCAGTGTCTCTAAGACATAAAAAAAATATTAGTAGCAACAAGCTCTTTCCAATTCTACACTTAGGCTGCTGAACTGCTATTACAAATTTGATTTATTTCATTCTCATTCTTTTATGTTGCACTGAAATGCATTTGCTTGCCAAGAGTCATTCCACGAGTAGAAGTTCCTTACATTAATGTGCAAGCCATAACTCCTTGCAAGATAAAAGCTTGAGGTGATAATTTATCTGTTTCTCTATATGATTACAGCAAGAAATCCAATCAAGTTTTGTCTTGCAAGACATTTTCTTTTTTTGTTTTTTCCTTTGATTCCTAGTACATTCTCAGGTGGGTTTTTTTTAATTAATTTTAGGTTGAGTATTCTTCAGAGGCTGAATCTTAAACCTAGGCAGGATCACAGCCCCTGATGTCAGCCCAGCAAATCCAGTTCCATTCAGTACTTCTGCAAAGGTTTAGAATGAACTGAACTGTTTGGTCTGTACGTGGTGTGGTGTTCTGCTCAGTAACTACTAGCACAGGTGACAGAAGAATTTATAGTTGATTGTCTCGGGCATTTTGGCAGCACAGCTCTATCAAATGCACAGACCTGAGGCCAGAAGTCACTGGGCTGGAGAGGATGCTGGAGTGACTGCAGGTTATGGGCACCACAACTTGGTTAGCTGATTGCCCTGACCCTAACAAGTAGTGGAGAGCTTGCTCAGGGTCAGGAGGTTGTCTTAAATACACC